CGTAATAGTGTAACTCATAATTAAATAAGCACTACAGGAAGCTGGGGGCTTTTGTACCAAGATGAGATACGAGTTTCTGTTTTGTTTTCTCTTCCTCTAAAGTAACCAAAGATAATTGGATTAAAACTTGCAGAAGAGGGTCATCCACGTGAAGGAAATGCCAGTTGTAGTTGCAGCGGTGCTGTGCTGAAAGCATAGACCTCTTAGGAGGGGGGAGAGTCTTGTTGTCAGACTGATTGCCATAGCTTCTCAGAAGAGCTTGTAAGCCCAAAAGCTTATCCATCTTCTGTAACAACTGCTCTAAATCGCAGTTGCCCATACGGACCTGGGTATGATTTGTGTTTTTAATTAATCTTTCAAGGGAATAAATGTCCAAAAGTGATTAGTGAAAGCCTCCAACGGATGGCACTGAGAAAGAGAGGTTGATCGCTTTTAGGATGAGTTAGTTTATTGATCCAAGAGAACAGATGTTTTGGTAAGGTCATGCTGTGTTTGGCTTGATTATATGCCCAGTTTAGGACATACATCTGCTGGGTGTTTTCACTTAAAAGGGTGACTGGAGTCCACCTGGTGGGTTGGGGTGGGAGGCAGGAGAATAGAGAAGGAAGGGCTGTCACAAATTCAGGTCACCTTCACCTGGGCATCGTTGGGAGCTATGAGTTAGCTGCCACAGTCGATGAAAGGAGTTGGGTGAGCCAGGAGGGGACCGCAGCCTGAAAAATGCATTGACTCCATACATCATACCGGCAATCTCGGCTGGTGGGTCTCCAGAGCGTCATCAATTAACGTGGGGCACAGGAGCAGCCTGGCCTCACTCAGGTGTGGATGCTCCATCTGCCTGGGTGACCGGAGAGGCTCCTGGGGGAACTCAATTCACATTCCCAGCCCCCGTGAGGATGAGTCCAAGCCCCTTTGCCTTAGATGACTGCCCACCGTATGCAAATCTCGGCAATTACATCCGATTTGCTGAATGGCTGTGAACATACTGTCGTGTGAATGCTGGTTGTGGCAGGAGAGCACAGTTTGGAAAGATCAGCTCTCTGGGTGAGTGTCAGGCTACACATACATCCATACGTGTAGCACACAGCCAGGATCTTCTCGGCTATTACCGGGCAGTGTCCCCCCTCCCCCAGGATGTGTCACACACAAGCCCTTCCAGTTATAAATGCAGACGGGATCAAATAGTTTGGAAAGAATCTACTTCTGTGATTATTGCTACTCTGAATTATAAATGACCCGAAAGCCAGAGCTATTCACTGCATTCACTTTTCAGACCGGAGCCCTGCTTTTAAGAAATATGATTTTAGAGAACAAAAGGGGAAGCGAGCGCTATGAAAATTTAGTTAAATGTAAATGTGTTAAATGGTACATGAACTAGTCAGGTTTTCGTGATTTATCAGTTTTAAACTTCAAAGGCTCTGGTTAGCTTGCATTTTTAAAACTAATGAGTTTATCACAGCCGGTGGGGAAAAATGGTTCAAGTATATCAGCTGTAAATTGGTACAAAGCACTAAAAGGGACATTAGCCTCTAATCAGATTCTAACAGTTCATTAAACCTGCCTTTCCTCGGTGGCGCTTTGTCTTTCCCCCCCTCCTCCTGCCCGCGCCTCCTGCACAAGCCGGCCTCGTCCCTTCGTTCAGGCGGGTAAGACCTCCTCGGGGACACCAAGCAATATCAGCTCATCCTTCTTTGTCTACCAGCTAAACAGCCCAAGGGATGCTTGATGATGGTATGTTCCTGATCTTGCTGTAAAACTCAACTGTGCCGCCCATAAATCAAGAAGGCAGAGGGGACCGCTCTGCTTGCAGAATGGGCGCAGGGAGGGGGGGAGCCAGGAATGCCAGGCTGGCTCCTGCTCTCCTTCCACCCCAAACCACATCCAAACGGCTGGAGATCGGGGTGACTCCCAGCATCCACTTCTGATAAGTTAACAGTGCACCGCCTTTCCTGGGAAGAGGGATGTAAAGCCTGGAAGCCTTTCAGCCAACTGTTTTGTGGCATCGGAATCCCTTCCTGCTCTCTCCCCACCTCATGCCTCAAATGCTGAATGAAGATCAAGGTGCACAAACAAATTGCTGAGAAGACAGAGGAAGAGCATTTGTATTATTTTTTATTTTTTTTTGTCTTCCTGTTGTGTCAAGATGAAAATACAGTAGATAGATACCCAGCGGTAGCATAGCGTGGACCGGGACATCTCAACAGCTTGACTTGTCTTTGTTCACACGTGTTTGAATGCGGAGGCGTTCTGCTGAAAATTACATGCATGATCTGAAAGTTTATAACTTCAGCATGTAGAGCTTTTCGTGAACTATCTCAATCTACTTTAAAGGCAAAAAAAAAAGAAAACCCCAAACAGAGATTGCATTTGCAGTTGTCTTTGCTTATCTGCTTTACCATCAAGTTCCTGCCTGCCCTGTAGAACCAAACCGCAGCTCTATATGTGCTGTAACACATGGGGTTCAGAGGGAGGGCGATGGGGATTTTAAGCAGGTCATTTGCTGTGCCTGTGGCACCATGTTGGAGCATGGCCCTATCTGTTTCCCAGCTTTTCAGCATGTTATTTAAACTACAATAAAGGGTACAATAAACTACAATAAAATAAACAGTTGCTCCAATATTTATGTCCCTGAAAATTTTCACTGAATTTCACTGAATTTTTAGAGTTGGAAGGGACCATAGAGATCATCTAGTCCAACTCCCCTGCTGAAGCAGGATTGCCTAGAGCTTGTCAGAGCATGTCACTCAGGACTGCATCCAGGTGGGTCTTGAAAATCTCCAAAGAAGGGGACTCCACACCCTCCCTGGGCAGCCTGTTCCAGGGCTCTGTCACCCTCACTGGGAAGAAGTTTTTCCTCATATTCAAGTGGAACCTCTTATATTCCAGCTTGTGCCCGTTGCTCCTCTTCCTCTCACTGGGAACCACTGAAAAGAGTCTGGCTCCCTCCTCCTTCAACCCTCCCTTGAGATCCTTGTAGGCGTTGATAAGGGCTCCCCTCAGCCTTCTCTTCTCCAGACTAAAGAGTCCCAGCTCTCTCAGTCTTTCTTCATAAGGGAGATGCTCCAATCCTTGAATCATCTTTGTTGCCCTTTGCTGGACTCTTTCCAGTAGTTCCCTGTCCCTCTTGAACTGGGGAGCCCAGAACTGGACGCAGTATTCCACTGGCCTCACCAGTGCAGAGTAGAGGGGGAGAATGACTTCCCTTGACCTGCTGGCCAGATCCTGGGAACGAGGTGCATTAATTGGAAAAGATAAAATGTCTAAAGTCATTTAAGTTTTTAAAATGTATCTTGGAAGCTCCATTAGGACAGACCATTTTTCTTAAAATTCCCCCGAAGGAGCCGTGGTGACAAACAGGGCGATGAACATACTCCTTACGAATAACTGCCCCACACAGTCCTGAGCAGATCTGCTGTTCGGGAAACACAGGCAAAGGGGTTTTTTTTCCATTACAGTGCAGTTATTGAGGACTACAAGGTTAACGGTTAGAACAGAGGTGAGTTTTGAGTCTCGAAGTGCTGCCTCCCAGACGGGGCTGCAGACAAGTAAGTGACTGTGAATGAGTCATTTCTAAGCGATACATGCGATAATTTCGCTATTTGAAGAAATAGCTGTGACGTCTTCTTGTTTCTGTACTGCTGACCAAGTTGTCTGGATTTGTAAGGTCAGATTCTAGCTTGGGGGATAAAATGTCTTTTATTCTCTCCATGTTGTCTAAACTAAATAGCAGCTGAAGGGGCTAGCTCTCAAACACCAGCCTTGAGCTTTGGCTGGAATAGAAAATTGACTCAGGTTGAAGTAGCGTTTGAACTGAAGGCACAAGAGGTTGTTTTGCATCTCTACATCCACCGCTCCGGCAACGGCAGGATGAGACACTCAGAACAGGGATGTTGATTCAGGGAAGCACAGTTCTGCCAATCTCACTTCAGATCAGAGCTCTCAGCATATATTGCACATTGCCACAAGGACAATGTATGTTTTAAACATGCTTTTTAAAATTTCTTTTGTGTCAGAGGTGGGCGCATCAAGGTTTTCATTGACAAATCACACAGAATCACAGAATGACTGAGCTGGAAGGGACCTCTGGAGGTCATCTTATTCAACACCCCTGCTCGAGCAGGGTCACCTAGAGCACACTGGACCATGCCTAGGCGGCTTTTGAATATCTCCAAGGATGGAGAGTTCACAACCCCTCTGGGGCAACCTGTTAGCCTAAAGTTTTGTATCGGTAACCAGTTTATACTAAAACCAAATGGTGAAAACTTTACAGGATGTGCCAGGGGAGGTTCAGGTTGGACATTAGGAAAAAATTTTACCCTGAAAGGGTTATTAAGCATTGGAATGGGCTGCCCAGGGAAGTGGTTGAGGCACCATCCCTGGAGATACTTAAAAGGTGGGTAGACATAGTGCTTAGTGACATGGTTTAGTGATGGTTTTTTATCAGAGTTAGGTTGATGGTTGGACTACATGATCCTAAAGGTCCCTTCCGACCTAGACAGTTCTATGATTCTAAGATAATGAATGATATGAAATTTGAGTTGTTGATGATGTGTGTTAAATTATAGTGTGTGTGCATACAGACCTTCACTATAACGTGTCTGAATTCAAGTATATGTTTTCTCTAGGTAATGTTTTGATTGAAATGGGGTATACCTAAGTATGCTGCCAAAACCCTGAAGCTATTTGAACCAATGGTCTCCTTTCCAGTTCCAAAGCCTGGAATTTATATACATGCCCCTGTGTGATTATTTTCAAATTAAAAAATAGATGAAGATGATTACAAAGACTTAGTTCTCTTTTAAGGATAAGTGAAAGTATAATGTACAATTTTAACAGAAGTAGTAACTTGGTAGCTACTCCTTGAAATTAATACTACATCTTTGTTAACTTTATTTCTGCTAAGAGAAACTTATTTCTACAGTATCGTAGAACTAAACCAGTGAATTAAACCAAGTGGTTTTCATAATTTTTTTGATTAACCTTTTCCTTTTTTGCCTTAGGATATCAGCGCCTTTGAGAACAGAATGTTAATGCTTGATGGGATGCCGGCAGTCAGAGTCAAAACAGAGCTGCTGGAATCCGAGCAAGGGGTAAGCAGAAGTCTCTGTGCGGCCTCACTCTGTGATGCTCTGGTGACCTTTCCCGAGCTTCTCTGTGGTTAGCTGTCCCTCTCGTTGTATTGTTGTTTTCTTTTCTACATTTTTTTTCCTTAATTTCTGCCATTTTGGAGCTCATTTTCGTGGGAGACGTAGCGGTGAGCATCTAGTTTCATCTGCTTGGGACCACAAAACAAAGTCTTCTGTGGAAGACTTGCTGATATTATCTGGGATAGCTGAGATGCTGTTGATGTATTTCATGATTATAACAAAAGGTGCAGTTTAAGAAGAACAGGGAAGAATAATGGGTTATAGCAAAGGAACCAAATTCATATGTCTGAGAAGCCCTTTGGTATTCTGCCTTTTTGGGATATTTGCTTTACTGTGGTTGTTTTGTCCTTTATATGATTGTCCTGTTCCGTTTTCTGTTTGGGGAAACCTGCTGTCTTTTTGGTGGAATACACTTGTTTATCGTTATGGTAAGAGGGCTAGAAGCTTTGGGTTGTTAAAGTTGGTATCGCATCAATTTCTGAAAACAGGACAGAGATCGTGAATTAGCAGTTTGAATTTTTTGCACAGCAAGGGTTTGGTATTGGAGGGGTAGATTTTAGGAAAACAGAAGATTACATTTTTGGCCATATTAACGGTATTTTCTTACATAAGTGGTAATAAGTGCATTGGGAATTGTAGATTACTATGAGGGCATCTGTATTTAGTGGATACTGTGTTATCATGAATCTTTATTTCCTTGCGTGCGTCTTTCATTATCCCAAAGATTCCAAGCCAGTTGACTGCTCTGAAGACAGACACCTTCAAAAAGCAGAGTGCTTAAAACAAGCAGCAATGCTATTGCCATGTAGGGATGGGCTTTTGCCTCCTCTTGTTAGTTGACTTTTTTCCTTCCTGCTATTTTCTCAATTATTTAATTGGGAATTTAAATGATATGAAAGAGAAGGAATTAACTTTCAGGAGGACTTCATTTGAAAGACTTGCAAGGAGATAACAATTATTCAGGATGTTTTTGAGGCTGTAAGTTTGAGGGATAAAAAGCCTGCTATTTAATGGAGTTCTTGTTCATCTCTCTGCATTCTTGAGAGCAAGTACCCTCTGAAAATACTCCAATACAGGGTAGTTTGAGGGAACATAAAAGTTCGACTATTGTATGAGCCATGATGATGAAAAGACAGATCCATTAGAGGTAATCTTTAATACTTTGTGGATGCTTTGCATTATGTCTTTGTATGTAACGTAAGACTTTCTCTGTATTGTTCAGAAGACAAATGTTTTATTGGTATTTGCTTTTGTCCAGTTTAAAATAAATTCTACGCATGTTGCATATTGCAAGGTCCTTTATGAAGAATACTTCCTTTAGCAAAGTGTGATTTGATTCTGGAAGACCTATTTGGTGTCTTAGGAAATGGAAGGAAATGAACAATTTATACAGTTTTTTAATTTCCTTAGGGTTTTTTTAATAACATTTTATAGACTTCTGTGTAAGCAGAAAATGATGTCATCTTCTTCTTGTCCAGTGTCTGAACTGTTGGACAAAGAGCTCGGTTTGATTTGGGATTTTATGCGCTTTGGTACTAATTAAGTAGTGTCTGGTCAAGAGTCTCTGGCACCTTTATGACTCTTCATTAGGGAACAATCAATAAATACAAAATGAATTCTCCAGTTCACTAACAGAGGAGCTTGCCGTTAGGATGGCAATTTTCCAGCAAACGGCTTAAACTCTAAAGAGAAAGGTGGTTGAAACAGATGTTTAGCATGTGCTTCAGAGACTGTTTTGAATATGTAGATGTTGGTAGACATAACAGGGACAAGTGTTTGAAGGATGTGATTACTGAAAACAGCACGTGGAGCTGTTTGGGAAGAGAAATATCATAACTGGGAAGTATGGAATGGGAATTAAAGTGTGATCCAAGTAGCATGAATTTGAAATTGTGGTGTCTGTCTGTGTTATTACAGTGCCCAAAGTCCCTAGAGTTGTACCTCCCTACGCCTATGTGTATATGGGGAGAAGTGATTTCTACTTTGAAAATTTGCAAACTCACACCGTCTTCTGAAGGTAGTAGCCAAAGCTTCATCACTCAGGATGCTGAACGCCAGACAAGACTAGGCAAACTTTTCCAAAACTTGTAGGAAGACAGCTGGGTTTTTTTGCTGTTCCTGCTTGGTATCTGCTATTGGCTCTGGGTTTGCTGCAAGGGCAAAAGTGAGATGTGGTTTAAGGGTTATGAAAAGAAGGTTTTGTCTGTGGTTAGGGTTGTCCTGAAGGTTGTGTCAGTTGTAGAGGACTGAAAGTAACAGTGTCTAGAGCACTGGTGGCCCCTGACCAGGGTAGTGAGGGCTGAGTGGTCACACCAGAGAGCATTGAGTTGCTGTGTCTCATTAATGAGGCTTTGGATGAGCTGGGGTAATACTATCAGATCTTTTACCTGAGAAGGGCTACGGGACCACTTTGAATTATCTCCTGTTTAAGTCTAAGCCTGTATTTCAAATAAACGTCTTCTTGACCCAGTAAGGTGTGGATTTGTGTAGATTTGTGGATTTCCACCTTGGACCCAAAGTCAAACAAAGCAATATCTGCTCTCTAAGCTACTTCTGGATTCGAGAGCTTTTGTTTTGGGTAACATATGTAGAGTGAAAGTGGTTTTAAAATGCAATACAGCAGAAGGAATAACTGAACGAAGAAGGTGTAGTCCGGCTCAAATTTTAGGGCCCTGGGTAGCCTGCAAACCTCATGAAGGTCACCAAGCCAAGTCCTGCACCTGGGACGTGGCAATCCCAAGCACAAATGCAGGTTGGGCAGAGAATGGCTGGAGAGCAGCCCTGAGGAGAAGGACTTGGGAGTGCTCATGGATGAGAAGCTCAACACGAGCCGGAAATGTGCACTGGCAGCCCAGAGAGCCAAGCTGCATCCTGGGCTGCTTCAAGAGAAGCGTGGCCAGCAGGTCACGGGAGGTGATTCTGATCCTCTGCTCTGCGCTCGTGAGACCCCACCTGGAGTACTGTGTCCAGCTTTGGAGTCCTCAGCACAGGAAGGACATGGACCTGTTGGAACATGTTCAGCGGAGGGCCATGAAGATGATCAGAGGGCTGGAGCACCGCTCCTGTGAGGACAGGCTGAGAGAGTTGGGGTTGTTCAGCCTGGAGAAGAGAAGGCTCCAGGAAGACCTTATAGCCACCTTCCGGTACCTGAAGGGAGCCTACAGGAGAGATGGAGAGGGACTCTTTGTCAGGAAGTGTAGAGACAGGACATGGGGTAATGATTTTAAATTGGAAGAGGGGAGATTTAGATTAGATACTAGAAAGAGGTTCTTTCCTGTGAGGGTGGTGGGACACTGGAATTGATTGCCCATAGAAGTTGAGGATGTCCCATCCCTGGAAATGTTCAAGACCGGGCTGGATGGAGCTTTGAGCAACCTGGTCTAGTGGGACGTGTCCTTGCCAGTGGCAGGGGTTTGCAACTTGATGATCTTTATGGTCCTTTTCAAGTCTAACCATTCTGTGATTCAATGAGAATGAAGCTGTGCGAGTGACTCCCACTGCAAACCAGCCCAGCCTCTAGCTGAGGCAATTGGAGCTGACTCCTGTCTTTCAGCTATGTCCCATGCACCAGCTCCTTCGAGCCTGTGACAAGTGGAGAGGGGACAGGACTCAGGAGCTACAGCCGGTGTCGATGCAGCAAAGACAAACCTCTACCAATCCAGGTTTAAAGGCACTAAGTTCAAGCTCAATGATGGCGGGAGAATGGGATTTAGGCAGCCCGTAAGGGAGATATGCCTTATGACATATAGGTTACTGGGCAAATTTGGAACAAAGAAATATTTACAAGGAAAATGGATTTTCTCTTTGCTTTGGAAAAAGTTAAACCAGTTCTGCTTTTTTTATCATCGCCAATTTGGAATAGTTTAATGATTTTTAGAAGGCCATCAGCATTAGCAAGAACAGATGCTTATTTTTCCAGTGAACTACCATCCTTAATTTTGCACAGGAGATTTAATGCAGACTATTGTTTGAGGCTTCAAGAAGACACAGTGCCGCTTTAATGACTTTATCACAAATGAAGAAAAGACATTACATAAAAGATATCGCATTGCCCTTTAACAAGGCTTCGTTATTATCTCCCCTACTGTGGAACAGGAGCTAGCATTGCTAATAAATTGGTAGAATTACTTTAGAAATGTGAATTTGCTTATCATTTAATATCCTCCAGTGACCTACAGCTTTAGATCTTTTTGGTCTGCAGGAAAATCTTTGCATATCAGTAACCAGCTTCAGAGAAGGACGTGAAGAAGGTGGTCCCTCCCCATGTAGGTGAAGGTGGGGTACTTCAGCTGGAAAAAAAAAATCTTTGTTCTTTGGCTGTGCCAAAAACTATTCTGAAAAGTCATACTTCTCATTGTAAGAATGTGCAGAGGATGGATTGATTTACATGGAAATGCAGAATGGGCAGTGAATTTTTTAGCTGATGGCTACTATCAAGTTGTTAGGATGGATGGTGTTGACTGCTTAAGTGTGAGGTCTTGAAGTTTTGCTGGTCATTGCAGGATGTGGCCCCATTTCTAAAAACTGGTAAATATGTCTAACTTATTTAGACATACGAACTTACACTTCCTCAAGTATTTGCAGAGTTGGGTCATAAGCTTTTGTTAAAAGGAGCTGTGAATATGGGACTTATGTCCCAGGATTAATCTTCAAATACAGAGAATAATGAACCTCTAATTTTCATCAGTCTGTTTGTTTCCAAATCTGCAGTCTCACTGATTCCTGTGCCCGTGTTTTGTCCCCTTAAGTTATTATTTGAAGATTACATACCTTGTTCTGAATTCACCTCCTAATTCTGCTTGATCCATCTCCATTCCCATGCCTTATCATGACTGAATTGTGAAAAGAATCACTAAAATGACAAAACCCTTTAACAAGCCAATATTGTTCTCCATGTCTTTCGTCTCCAGTCAAATTGTCTTGTTGTCTCGTGTCTGAAGAAT